GTAAATTTACGTCTCCCGTTTTAACGTCAGTCTTAAATACGACGTAAAAAGCCCTAAATACCTGACGTAAAAGCCACTTTTTGTACTAATGATTGATCTTATGATTGTTGATCCTTTAATAAAAGGATTATCGCTCAAGTTGTTTGCTGGACATACAATGAATATGGACATTATGTTTACTAGTGAATGTTAAATGTTAATGTTATTATTAATGCTTATCTGACATTCTAAGATCTTTAATGTATAAGTTTTTCAAATTTGTGTTTTCTTCTTTATTTATATGCATGAAAATTATAATAAGGAAAATAAATTATGTTATTATTATTGAAAATGATATTATGTTTGAACCCATTATAGACTTTTCATTATAAAATCATATCAATGAGAAAGAGATAATGTAGTAGTACATGGAAGGTAGCATGTCGATTAATTGACATGTAACAACCATAACTCTTGTTATAGTTGTATCTTTAATTATGAATAATGATAGAACCAATTTATGTAATGTCCTTTAATACGCATTATGATCTAAGTATTAAATCATGAAATAGTGTGACATCACATAAGTCAAGTGGGAGAATCTTAGAATTAATTTAATTAATTCATTCTATTATGTGACTTATGCAAAATATAATGATGGGTCCAAATGCGATTTAATAAAATATAAAGGCATATTAATTATTATGAAAAGTTAGAATAAAATAAAGATAAAATAAAATAAAAACTTACAGTAACCAACTTGATGTACGTTGGTTAAGAAAACGGAATTAGGATTTTGTCTCTAACTATAAGATTCTTCTCATAATTAGTCATCGTAAAGTGTGATAGGAGAAAAGAAACGAAAATATATAAATTAAGAAAAGAAGATTAAAGAACAAAGATACTCGAAGAATGCGTTCTCATTGGATATTTCTCATGGATCAAGATTAATCTCCTTATCATGATTTATTTACGTGAGAATCATGAATCTAGAAATTTTGTAGAATAATTTTTTGGACTGAATTAAAAACATAAGAAAACTACAAAATGATTTATAATATGATGGATTTCTAACAATCATCCATCATTTAAAAAAATTTAAGAGCACTAAGATGTTAGTAATTTAGCAACAATAGATTCAAGTTATGTGAGATAGTCATATAAGACTAGTCAAATAAATCAATTAGGATTGAGAGTGATGGTTAATAGAAAATCATAAGAATCTTATGGTTAATAAGATAATTTATGGTCAATTTGTTTGTAGATTGTTTGGTAGAGATTGAAACACACTTCTAATCATTTGTTGACATTTCTTGTTACAAACTTACATATTAAATATATTATTATCTTAAAAAAATCCTTTAAATAATTTTTTTTAAGAGAAATATGCAATTTCCATATATATATATATATATATATATAAATTATTTTATGTGAGAAATAATAATAATAATAATAATATTATTATTAACCGCATTAGTTATATTAAAGGTTTGCACTTAGCTATCAAACTCATGCAATAAATACATTTTTGACATTTTATCCAGCAATGAACATATTTTGACTCAGAATATGCCTTGGCAGGAAGTCAAAGAAAAAACCTTTGGGAGATACTTATTTCATTTTTTACATTTTTTTACCACATGCTTAATGAATCAAACTATTTCTCATTCAAACTGCACCGTGCTGATAACAAAGAACATGCATAATTATTTTTGAATAATTTTATGATATAATAAATATGTTAAAATAAGTTTATTGAGATATATGTTGGAATGTCTAGAGTTCTCCACAACTACAATAAGGTTGTGGTAAATGCCACAATAAACACATAAAATGAGAGTGGAAAATCACATGTTTCCTTGCCATTATAAGTAAAAAGAGACTTACAAATAAAAAGATTTAATGCCTGGATCTTCTTTGCAAGAGCCTATAAGATAATATGTTAAACTGATTGATTAGATTATTCAATCATTATTTTTTTTTCTTACAAATATTAAAAAAAATATTTTTATATTATTTTTTTTAGACAATATGAAGTTTTTTTTAATTGTTGTAAATCAAGATGAATGTTATAAATATAAAAAGTTACATATTTTTACGAAATATGAAAAATTTATTTTTCAAGTCTGCTTTAAAGCCATAAATTTCTCTTTCTGCTTCTGTCAATGAAACGTGCAAACCAAGTTGGATTTCAAATCATATCCACAGGCATTACAAAATTAAAACGTATTGGGCTTTGGGCCTTGGAAGTTCCTTTAATCTGTTTCTTTCTGCAGGTGTTAAGTTTAAATACTCACGCTTATTTTTCATTTAGTTTTTATTTTTTTTATTTTTATATAATATTTGTTCGTTATCTGTTAAGAAAGAGAATGTTGTTCAAAGATTGATGCTAAATTAAATAAAAACTTATTTTAAAATAAAAAATTGAACCAAAGCCTACACATTTAAATGATACTAGACCCTCTTCTACTCAAATAACATAATTATTTTTTAATTATGCTGGAGATAAACAGATTGTTGTAATGAATAATAAAATCTGCAAATACATGACTATATACCAACTTAGTATTAAAAGGCACATGATGTATTATTATTAGTCAAGTTAATTAAATTCTTTAACATCACAAAATCAAATCATATCAGCCATTGAATAATTGCAATTATTCAATGACTTAAATTATTCCACTTGACATTGTGTAATATTAATACAATAAAAAAGACACAACTAAAAAAGACAAGACAGCGAATTAAAGGCTCCATACAAGTTTGTCTCATCTGATACGTACGCACGCTAAGTTTTGCATCCAAATGTAAACAATTATGCTAAACAGATGTTATTTTTGGTTGTGTAAATAGATATTAAACTAATATTATGTATTAATATTACAAGTTTGTTTCTAAAAACAAAAAACACCAACAGCAGAATTAACCATATGCGTAGGTACGGTTTTATTCTGTAATGCAAGTGGACCTGTGAAAGTAAAGAAATTTATGTTGTCTTCCTTAGTTTCTAAGTACTTTGTTGTGTAACCAACTGAAAAAAGAAGAAGAGAAAAGTATATTGTTATGGAAGAGAAAAATACTAAGTAAAAGGGTACATATCATGTTTAAATATATATTTGAATGTTTTTTTATAAATTAAAATATTTTCTTATGAATTAAATTAATTTATATACAAGTTAAAAAAAAGACATTTTAAAAAAATATGTAGTAAAAGTACAAAGCTTTTAAAATCAAAGTTGGTCTTTAACATTTATTATAAATTGTAATTAATTGGTCAATTTTGGATGGGACTTACTATCAAGCTTATGCTAGATACTGGTTAACTAAGACACACATTTAGGTTTTAAAACTTCTTAAAAAGATTATTCTATTAAAAACTTAATTTAAAGTTATTTAAAAATATTTAATTTGATAAACTGATCTATCTAGTAAAAAAAAAATAACTTTTAATATGTATAAAGGTCAAGTTTATAAATTTATTGAAAGATAAATTTATATCTTAGTTGTAAATTATGATTTAAAAAATATGATATAAATAAATTAAGATTATTGTGATTGTTATATTACAGATTAAAAATAAATTATATACTGTAAATAAGTTAATCTGGTTTTTATAAAACCTATCCTTTATTCTCATTCATGTCTAATGATTTTATTTTTTATAATTTATAATAAATTTTTATTTTCTTATAAGGCAACTAACTTAATGAGAGACAGATAAAGTATGTTTAAACATTTTAACATGAAATAATTAATGAATGAAATAAAAGTTTACAAAAAGAAAGGGTACACTTAAAAAAAATAATGCCAAAATTTATTCAGTTCACCTAGTTTCCACCCTAATTAAGAGTTCTATTTCGTTGCAACCAGATATATTATAAATATTTAAATGTTAGATATATTATATAAATATTTAAATGATAGTTATTGGTAATATAATTACAAAAATGTTAAATTACGAAGAACATTACGAAACTAAAAAAAAAAAATCGATAATCTTTTTTAAAATTCTCATATAAATATTATTTAGTTATAAAATATTACTTTTGCTTTTAGTCCTTTAGAATAAATAAAATGTCATACTGTAATTCATGTATTTGAAAAAAAAATTGTTAAAAAGTTTAAAAATAAGTTTAATTTTTTTATTAAATCAAACTCAAACTGTATTATTTAAATTGCTGACGAGAATCATACTAATAGTAGCCAATAAGTTTGAGTCTTTATTTATTTACTAGATTATAATATACCCTACAATTTTGGATATGACATGTATACATGTCTTTGAAGAATTTTCACGAGGACAACTAACTTATCATGAGACCGACTTTCAGGCACATCATGTTTTGCATTAATCACTTTAAAAGCTTTTCAAACAATTTCATATATAAACAATACAAACAAAGTTCAATTAAAAAATGTGGGAGTTGTACCTTCCCAACTATTCTGAACATTACACCACTTCGCACCCAATGGCATTTTCAGAGATTAACCTATGATTATATATGTAACAAATAATTTTGCATTTCTTTTCACACCCATGCAAACAGTTTACATTTTAGATAATTACTTTATATATAACTCCTATGACGCAGATAAAATATTTTTGTAATCACCATTTTTTAGTAAAAAGTAATGAAATTTGTTGGCTTTAAACCAACAAAACTCTTTATAAAGAAAGAGATTATAAAACTAAAGTTATGGCATGGGGATTCATGATTTTAGGTTGACTTGCGTGATGGAACTGTATTTGAGTCGCATATTATCATCAACAACATTGATTATAGTGCCGCCTTTGCCATTCATAATACAATTTTGCGGTGATGTTGACAATTTGACATGAAGTTTGTGAGAAGAAGAATGAACCAAAACCCCATTATAGAGTAACTAAAAATTTGATAGAATAACAGAAAAGAAGAAAATCATGAGCGCCACGGATTTGGTTTTGGAAGTAGTAGTATGGAAGAGTTTATCAGAAAAGGGTGCTTCAACCCTTACCATCAGCGTGGGCAAGCGATTTATGCGGTGGCGTCACGAGGCACTAACGAGCCATGCGCCATGAGGATGGACTTGTAGATCTGGATGATGGTTTTGTCGTCGTACTCCTTTTGGGCCCGGCCGAAGCCAGCGAAGGAGGTGTCGACAGCCGCTAGGGGCCCACCGAAGCCCGAAGCTGAGGCGCTGGCGGTCATTACACGCGAGTTGGCGAAGCCCAGCATCATCCGCACGTACGCATCTCTCACCCAAAGCAGAACGTTCTTGGGAGAGGGGATTTTTCTGATTCGGATCTTGGGAGCAAGTCTGATCCTCCACCGCCAGAACCGAACCTTCCCGGTTGGCGTGCTTCCCAGCTCCACCCAGCTCCTCCTCCTCTGACCCGACCTGTTTAATCTCCGGTACCCTTTCCTCCTCCAATACTCTTTCACACCCTTGCAGACGCTGGCCGTGATACCTTCCATCTCTGTTGTTGTTCTTTTTTCTATTTGTCTTGGGCGGAATGAAATAAAATGGGGTTGGGGTGGGTGAGAAATGAAAGAGTGAAGAAAAGGGATAATTAAGTTAGGTGCATGCAGACGGAATAACACATGGCATTGTGTACAGTCTGAGATTAGGCTTCCTTAATTCAATAAATATTTTTTATATTAATTGATATAAAAAATATATCCATGCATAGAAGATGGTGGGGTGTGGAGAGTGGTACATTAAATGCGACAGCCACTCTGGTAGCTGATTTTATCAACAATGTCACTTTCTCTAATTAATGTACTTCCCCTCTCACGTGCCCAGCATTCAACTCATGCTACTGCTGCTTCTTCTATCAAGCTCTAATCGCAGTTACAACCATAACAACTCAGACCCAAATTCTAAAAGTGCTATTCAACAAGATTTTTGATGTTCATCAGTCTCCATCTCTCTGTTACCCAATGGATTATTTTCATTCCTAGCGAGTGCAAAACTTAGCTTTCTTTCTTCCTTCTTACAATCTGTAAATATATATATATATATATATAAAGAAGCTGTTTATTTCATTTTTTAATCTACTTATTTATAAGGATGTATAAGTGTTAAGTTGCTCTTGTTTGACTAAACTAGCTGGTCAGTTAAATAAACAAAAAGTTTAGGATTTGATCCAATCGACTTTTTATTTAATATTTTTATTAGATCCAATCTACCCAATTTATCTTAATGAAATTGAATTTGATTTGATTGATTGGGTTATACATTTTTTAAAATAATTTTTATTATTATAATTTTTAATTTTTAAAAATATATTATACTATTTAATATTAGTATAATTTAATATTTTAAAAACATATTTAATTAATATAATAATTTTATAAAGTAAATAATAATTATATCATAATTTATATTTTATATTATAAAAAGAGATTATATTATAATATTTTTCGTCATCATTTGTATTATTTTTTATCAATTATAATATTATGCATAAAAGATGTTTTTTTTAATATATTGATAAGAGGAGAGATAATATAAAAAAAGGGTAAGATATGTGCTTTTATATAATAGAAAATAATATATATTTATATTTAATAAATTAAAATATTTTATTTTATTTTCATATATCTTACTTTATTAAGATTTTAATTCATGCAAGATTATTAATGTATACTTGTCAAAGTTTACATGTCACTACTATGAAAAAGACTTTTTACGTCGGTTAAAATGGGCCTTCTACGTCGGTTAAAGCGGCGACATAGATACAGGGGTCATAGAAAGTAAGTCTTTCTACGTCGGTTAGTTAGGGAACCGACGTAGAAAGTCTTACTTTCTATGTCGGTTAACACTGATAACCGACATAGAAAGTCTTACTTTCTAACTTTCTATAACCCCAGTATCTATATCGGGTAACAGTAACCGTGATTGTATGTGATATCAATGTCGGTTATGCTTATAACAGACATAAAATGTTAAACTTTCTATGTCGGTTATGTCATTAACCGACGTAGAAAGTGTTATTTTTTTTCCAGAGCGTGCATTTCCTTCACAGATCCTACCTTTCTTCGAGTAGACCTGCTTATTCATCATAGTTCCAGACAAATATTCAGAGTTCCAGACAAATATATATGTACATATATGAAACAATTGAAATCAATATATATGTACATCAGTTCCAGACAGTTCATATTTACTTAAACGAATGTAAATTTGCTAACTTAAATCAATTCAATCAAAATTGTTACAAGTCAAATTTGCTATGAAGATTGAATACTTAAAAGGAAAGAAACCCACTGCTCTCTAATATCGTCTAACACTTCAATCTTCAATGGAGATGAGTCTGTAAATTCTTATATATTGAAACATTTCAGATTTAGAAACCATTTACATAATTGGCATATTTGACTTAATTATAGTATATTTACCTCCCTCCATGAGTCAATAATATTTTTGGCTACGATGGTGTGCATGTGCTTCATCACATAATACCCGCACTCATGGCTTCCCGGTTGGCGTGGACACTACAAGTTAAATACATGTCAGATTAACTTTAAATGACAAATTGAACAACAGTAAGAGGAATATTTGGTCACCTTTGGTGCAATATATGTCAACTTCTTTCTAGCATGAGATGGAAGGTCTTGCAACCTTAGGTGAGCTTCCAAAGCTCTACAAAAGGACAAATAATTTTGGTGTAAGTGCACATATGATACAACAATTAAAAAAACCAAACTTACGCGTCTATGTGCTTTCTAATATCCAAATCATTTGGTTTCTTGTGTAATGAACACAAGAGAATCACAACAAATTGCCGAGGAACAATGATTATGAGCTGCCAATGACCCCTGCACGTTGAAATAATATTAGTAAAATTTTAGTTTTACATAAATGTGCATTAATTTATAAGATGTATACTTACTGATGCAAGTAAGGTGCTAAGTAGACTTCTTTGCCCCCATTTTGAAATGTCTCTATTAAGTACGTTTGCACCTCTTCAGCTTTATTCCCAACGGACTGAATGGCAACAGGGTCAACAAATCCATAGATAAAGGCAATTTTCCTCTCAACACACAAACGATGTAAATACCTTCAACATTGAAAATAAATAAAGTTATAAAATAATGTACCAGTGAGAATATCAAAAATATGTAAATTTACTTACAATTCCCAAAGCTGCAACATTGATACACATAGCATATCAGTACCAACAAGAATATCAAAAATATCCCTTTGGAGTAAGAAAAAAGGGATCGTCTTGGTCCTGCATACGACTTTGGGTGGCATATCTAACTGTATGGGAGTGGTCCCGATAGTCGCTGCTAGTGCACCGAGTCGTTGTAAAGCACTCGGTGGTGGTGGTGATTCATGCACAACTTCCTTTGCTTTTTCAGCCTCTTTCTATACAAGTACCAAAAATAAATAACATTAATATACATCAACATATCAAAAAATAATAAGTAAAAGGGATAAATGCATGACACGACCTGTGCATGTGTTGGGATGGGTCTTGTTAATGAAACTGACCATAAGATAAAATTTCCAGGTGTCTGTCCCACTGTTTGAACCTCTTCAGTGGGAATAGGGATTGGGGCAGTAGGATCCCGAACATCTACAACCACCACTCTTATCATATCATGTCCAATACTCTGGTGGTGGATGGTTGACCCCAATGTATACATTTTCCCTAAGGTAAACAAATGATAAAATATTTTAGACTATATAATGCTTAACAGTGTACCAAATACATGTCAAAGATATAATACGTACCGTATGCCACCAAATGCTCGGGAGGACCCGCAACATACAACTCACAGTCAGCAGTGTCAATAGGAGCAACCTCTGGCCCTCTATCAGGAGCATCACAACTCTCCTTTGTGCTGACATAAATCGGGGATGCCTCTCGTGCGGAGACAGAAGGTTGAGAGGACAAAGATGTCAACTCTGCTCGCATTGAGCTCAATAACTCTGCCTTCAAGTCAGAGTACACCTCATCTCGAATCTCCTTCTTAATTTGTTGTTTGAGGGACTCAAACTCCAACTCATTCAGCTGCCTCAAAGTATGAGTTGCCACGGATGGGGCACCAAAGTACTGTCTAATGCCCACCCCTCGTCCAGCAGCACGAACACGTCCAGGATGCTCTGGGGTACCAATGACCACTGCCAATATATCCTGACGGCCATGTGGGTGGAATGATCCCTGAGTGCTCTGCTCAACCAACTCATCCTACAACACAAAGGAATGATTTTTTAGCAAATACATATGTCTATTGTAGTATAACATATATAATTAGTTTATGATATGCTACTTACAATACGTTGAGCTACAACATTAGTTTGCTCAGATAAGTAATTCCCTGATGAGGTCTAGCGAGCTCTCTTCCATTTATCATGGCGTGAAGGGCGAGTGACAGAACTGACAACCGAGTCATCTGAAGGTTGACTTGAAGATGTCTCCTTCATCATCTTCTCCTCCAATTTCTCATAACCCCCACGAGACAACCTGTGGGGGTGGATATTCTTTCTCTGAATATCATGTGCCTTCTGCTGCTTGGCCTGTTGCATTCCATGTTAAATACCAGATTTAAAACCTCTATTTAAAAAAAATGACTGCAAACAAATGACAAATGTGATAACCTGAAACTTAGAGTCTAAACGCTGAGTCCGAAATGCCTGCCATGTCTCCTCATCCAAAAGCGATACTCGGTCACATGGGTTCTTGTTGCTCAATGCCCCATATATGTATCGACTAGTCGGATCACTCCTAAAACCTCTCCAGCGTTCCCCGACATATGAGATCCACTTTGTCCTCAACAAAGTGGTGTTAGAGACATCATATGTGACCTACACAATAAAAATAACATGAAGTTCCCAAAAAGTTAAATATATATACATGTTAAATGCTCAATAAGAGTAGGTACCAGGATGCTCTGCCAAATCTGCTTCTTCAGTGTCTCTGGAACATGGTCTCAATCCTCAATAAGAATACTAACCTTGCTTCTCCCAAGCAAGGCCAAATAGCTAGTGAATCTAGCATCGTGCTCTCCTGTGGCTCTACCCGTTTGCATGTCAAACTGGATAGGCAATTTCGATCGGAGCTACGGCTGATATTCAAGTCCCTCAACCGTGTAGCACGCCTACCCTTTTTCCTGGTAGATGGTCGACTCGATCACCACCTTGTGTAGGAGGGGGACTGTGTAGGAGGAGGGGTACCGGATGAATCCGCCATATCCGTGTTCAAAGAAAAAAATAATAGTTATTAGTTTAGACAATATGACTGAAGATAATAAAAAAAGTGCATACATTAAAAAATAATACATTAAAAAAGTGCATACATTATCAAGTTGGAACATTCTCCCAAAATCCTTCCATATGGTCATAACGTGTAGCATGCACATCATCTATTTCTACATTAACACTCAAGTTTGGCATATTTGAAGAGAAACATGGTGTCTCTGGTATATCAAGTACTAATTCATCATTCTCATGAGAAGTATACATG